TAATTTATATATGTAATTTTTTATATAATTTTATATAATTAATTTATCAAATTTATAATTTATTAATTTATTAATATCTAATTTAAAATTACTTTAATTTAAATTTATTAATTTATTAAGAGTAATTTTATTTATTACTAAAAGTGAAAATCATCGTATTATGTAATTTATTAGAATTATGTTATATAATAGCATATATATGTTATGCGTTAAGTGTTGATTTATGTCAGCTGCAGCTGACATATATTAGATATCAATTGATACCTAATGTGTATCTATTAATAATTGATTACTGATATGTGTTAATTGTCATCTAATGCATTTAGTATAATTCATTTTTTATTGTATTTCAAATTAAAATTTTTATTTCGTAAAAAAAAATTTGTGCATCATGTTTATTTCATTATTATTAATATTTCTAATATTGTAACCATTACAAAATAATTATAAATTTATTTAATTTAGAAATAATTTGATAAATAATAATAATAAATAAAACTTTACTTACTTAATAAATTTTATTCACTTTTATTTTGATATTGCTGACCACTATGACATCAACTTTTATAATTATTATCCATTTTTCTACAATTGCATTTTTTACTATTGTAATTTTTCTTACAATTACAAATTGTACTTGAAGTTAATTTTACATTTTGAAGTCATGCTGCCTCTCTAACAGTAATTGTATTTGTGGATATTGAGTCAAGTTCTGAAAATTGGTTAATATCAAGAGGATCGATTTCACCTAATGAATAGAAAATATTAATGACTCCAAATTGAAATCCTAACTGATAATTATTATTAATCTTTTCCAGAATTTTGCATGAGAGTGTAGGTCAGTCAGTATCAAAATAATCAATTTTTAGAATAGAGATTCTTACTAAATCTCCAACTTCATAATCATTTGGCCTTTTCTTTCCTTTGTTCATCTAATTAGCCATTTTTTCAGTATAATTTTCAAGGTTTCACCAATTAGCATCTCTTAATATTTCATGGCTGGTAATTCTTTCTTGTAATGAAACATTTGTAATATCAATAAGAATAGGATCAATAGGAATAGGCTAATCTGAAGCTATAATTTCTCTATTTTCTAAATATACTACTTTATATTGGTTTTGCAAAACCTAAAAATCAAATAATAATAAAATTCATTAAAATTATGATAAATTAAATTTATAAAATTTTTTTAAAATTACAAATAATAATTTAATAAAGTTTCGATAGTTACAAAAAATTAAGATTAAAAAAAATTACAATAAAAATTAATTAAAATTATGATAAAAATCAATAAAAATAACTCAATTAGAATGACAAGTCCTTCTATTATTTATTTTTACAGATGGTCAAAGACTAACAAGTTTTTTAATTACTTCAGCACAGAATTCCTTTTCATTATCAGATTGTAAAATAGTTGGAGATGAGCTAATAGAAAAAAATAAATTAAATAAAAAGGCTGCTACTTCAATAGCTTATTTGAAAGTAAGTGACCTGCTTAGGAAAATTTAATAAAGTGATCACGAATGTGACAAATATATTTATAATTACCATTAGCATTATAAGAAATATCAATTAAATCTATCTATAATAAAAAAATTTTTTTAAATTTAAATTATTTTATAACTGAAGTTTATTTAATAACTACCTGTATCTGAGATAGATAATTCTTTGCAATTATTAGTTTATTTGCTAAAGAATGAAAAAAAGGTTTTCAAGTAGCACATACAGTGTAGTTATTAACAAATTTCTCAATAATCTCCTGTCTTACAAAGCTCCAATTTTGTTTAACTGATTCTCATAATTGTTTTTGATATGCATGATTATCAGTTTCAGCATGTATTCTGCATAAAACTTCATATATATTTTTAACTATTAGAACAGGATTATTATTTTTTTTAAGTAAAACTCTATAATCTCCAGAAGTGATTTCTTCTAGAATAAAATGCCTTTTAGCCTATTTACATGTATTTTTTACATCAAATTTTTTGTTATTAGAGTTAAGTAATATTTTCTTTATTCTCTTCAAAAGTTTTATATTAATTAAAGCTTTTTTTTGTTTGCATTCAGGTAAAGAACTTATGTAGTTATTAATTATGTTATTTTACTAATAAAATTATATTCTATCATAAAATATTTGTGAACAAATAAAATGAATAAAAATGAAAAAACTTTTTAAAAAATAGTGTAACAGTTATTTATTGATTATTAATATATCAGATGACAGTTAACGCATGTTAGTAGTTAATTATTAATATTGCAAAAATTAATAAGTATTAACTAAATTATTGAATAGGTGAACAATAAATTTATATGTAATCACTGCACTAAAATATGATTATTCTGTATAAACTTTAATTTTATTAATCAATAAATGAAATCAAAGCTAAAAAAATGAAAAAATAAAATATTGAAAATAAAAAAACTAATCTTGATCTCTAATTTTATATTTAAATACGAATGTTCTTAGAACTCTATTTCAATATATTAAATCTAAAAAGCAGGAGAAAATAAAAAGGAGATTAGTAATGATCAATAAAATTAAAAAAAGCAAAATAGCAACTAACCTTAATTTCTGATCTTTTATTTAGTAGCAAACATTTTTAAAGCTTCATTTCAATATACTAAACCTAAAAAGCAGGTAAGAAAAAAAGGATATGACCTTTATCTCTTGATTTTATATTTTTAAACGAGAACATTTTTAGAGCTCTATTTTAATATATTAACCTAAAAAGTAAGTGATAATAAAAAAGAGGTTAGTAAGTAATAATTAATAAAATAAAAAAGTAAAATGCAAGAATTAACTGTGATCTCTTAATCTAATATTTTAGACACAGATTTTTTTTTAGAATTATATTTAATATATAAGACCTAAAAAAATCAGGAAATAAAAAAAGAGGTTAGTAATAATTAATAAAATCAAAAAAAAAAGCAAAAGAAAGGTAAATGAATAAACTAATATTTGATTTTTATATTTTAGATAAATATTCTAATTATTCTATTTTTTATTGATAAAATTTCATATAAAGGAGACAGCCTATAAAATAATCAATTATATGAAGATTCAAATGAAAAATTAATTGAATAGATTGATATAATTTATTTTAAGAAAGTGTATATTGTAAAGAATATAATATCAGATATTATCTAAATAAAAATCAATTAGTGCAATTTTAACTAAAATCATTGCATCATATGATTAATATGATAAATTCAAAAAATCTAACAGAAAAACTATTGCTATAGATACTTAATATAAGGTTAAATTAATATTAAAACTTAGAATAGAATAAAGTGAAAAAAATTGTAAAATAAAAAAGGTAGTAAATTTTTATTTAATCTACCCATCAGTTGAATAGTTACTTAATTTAATAAAACAAAATAAACACTTGTAATATGTAAACATTTGAATATTTTCTTCTAATTATATTTTCATCTAATTTTAATATATTGAATTTATTATTATTTTAACATTTCCATCTTATTTTAAAATAAATTATATCATAAATAAACATATAATAATTATACTTTGTTAATATTAATATGAAATCATAATTAATAATTAA